AATTAACGCCTACACACCCGTAAACAACGCATGCATTCTTTATACTAATAGGCCAACCATATAAAATAGCAAATATCCCGTTCTAACCACGAAACTGACGAAGCTGATCGGGCGTCTGAAGTAGACAAATTTAAATTAGCGCTTGTTTAATATGCGCGCTATATACATGACTATTGACTGTAATGATTTCCTGGGATTGATTCATGGACTTCAGGGACGGATCTGGGAACTAACAGGGGGGGGGGGGGCAAATTTCAAGTCAGAGAAAAAAACGTTTTTCAGAGAAAAACAATTTTTAGGCCCCTAAAACCCAAAAGTGGGCCCAGATTTTGAAATTTTGAGGCCCATTTTCTTCAAAATTTGGCCTGAAATTAAAAAATAAGGCCAAGTAATGACCAAAAAGGCCCACTTGTTGGAGCCTGAAGGCCTTTTTTGGCCCACTATTTTTTTGGGCCCAATTTTTTTTTCTTGCCCCCCCCCCCCCCTAATCCGCCAGTGGACTTTGCGTTCTCGGTTACGTTGTGAAAAATATCGCCAGCTTAAAGCCTCAACTAACCACGAAGCTCTCTTTTAAGTAGTGAAGTCGTACCGAATGTAAATAGGGTTATTTGTGATAGATAGATGGCAACACGTTATGCCTGCCTCCCTAAAATTGGGTGATTCTATTTTGTCGATGACGTCATATTTAAAGTTGCAACGCCCGCCATTTTGGATATTCGGAAGAAAACAAAATAATGAAGATTCACTTGTAATTCCAAGGGATTTCCGTTATAAATTTCCATTGCCGTTGTTATAAGGATTACTCTGGTATGTTGGAAAATTCGTGAAAGGTGCGTTGGCAATGACAGATTGACTCAAATGTTAGCAGTCACGTTTGAAAGTTTGAAGGTACGGTTTTAACTTTATGAAGCCTAGCGGTGATATCATTTATAATTTAGTGATTTGGTTTTCTGTATAAAAAGTCATTTTTCTCCTTTCCTACCCCATTGGAGCGCCATCTGGCGTTTGGGAAGTGAATTTGGACTAAATATTTATAAGGTAGGCTAGGTCCTGATTTATCTGAAAACATGTCAAAGTTCAGTGGGAAATCTCATTTTAACTTTTAAGCTGGCGGCGGAGTGATTTTGACCTTGGTGATTTTACCAGAATTCTCTGAGAAATCTGACGATAGAGGGGGTTAGTGTCTACAAGTTTAGGGCGAAGGGGTGTAATGTCGACGTGTGGGGTAATGTCGACATAATGGACGGGGTAACTTCGACACTTACATATTAGAAGTAGAATTTCCGTTTTCCGCCATGTTTGATTTCTGGAAAAATTAAAATCTCGCGAGATCTCGATCCATGCGAGAAAAAAAACATGGCTTCCCCCTAGATCGGAAATTAGAGCAAATAAACAACAAGGTGTCGAAGTTACCCCACATGTCGAAGTTACCCCAAAACGGTGTCGACGTTACACCCCTTCGCCCTATTTATCTCAAAAATTCGGTGGACAACCCATACTAAGATGGTTATAGCAGGCTAGGCGAGTCTCTCCCGAACACCGTGGTATGTTGCACTAGGCTTGGATACTAGTCGTTAATAAGATTCAGGGTAAAATGTTATAATGGCCACCTATGGGAAACTCTACTGTAATCTTCAACCAATCCCAACGAACGAAGTTCGGTAGGTATATAGTGAAGCCCTCCGTCCGTAAGTCAGTCCGTTCGTCCGGCCGGAAGATAACTCAAATATTAGTAGACGGATTTTCTTCATATTTGGTGGAAAGATGTAGGCCTAAGGGTCGTCCGTCGAATATCGGCACCCCTTCAGGATAATCTACTTAATTAATTGATCTAACTTACCATGGTACCCCAGTTTTTTCTACTCGATGTAATAGGAAGACACTTTTACAAAACATTCCCCAACATTTACTATATCATTTGTGTTTATATTTAGGATATGATTGAATTAAATTAATATTTTTGAAATGGGGAAATATTGTCAGTATATGGGGTAATATCAGCAGGCATGGGGTAATATCGGCGGGGAGTAAAGTGTACATGTAAACACGCATTTCATTGTATTCTATGAGCAACAGTCTAATCCTAGTTGAGTTGTATGCCATCTATCTATTAATTAAAAACTTTAAGACTCAATGACTGGGCCTGACATCTATCAATAAGCTTCAGTTTTGATACTAGAACCATGTTTATCTTTTGATTTTCCTTCTATAGATGGCATTCATCATATTGTTATTGCTTTTGATTGAAATAGGTTTCTTTCCTTTCTTTCAGCTGTCTCTTATTGAAACTGAATTGAACTGAATAAAGTCATAACAGGTATACAGATGTATTATTTGTTGAGTTATTTAATATCCCCATTTATGTTTAGAAATCTTCATATAAAAAATTACTCATCTATCGATAATCACTGGTGATCCGCTCGATTACGCTGGTTACCGAAACGGTTCGTTTTGGTAACAAAATGTCGGAACGTCGAAGGTACGATTTTTCTGTTTTCCTTATTTTACGCGTTGTAGGCAGAATCCCAACGACGTTTTTTCTCACAAACGTGTATCAGCATCATATATTTTAGAAAATGTACATGTTTGTGGAAAAATAGCTCAGAAGACAACAGAATCGTCGATTTAATTCCTCATTAAAGTTACAGAAACGGTTTAGGTTAAAAGTGCAGATCTTAACTGGTTTTGGAAAATAGCAATGACGTTTTGCGCGGTATTCACAAAAGCGCGCTTAAGCAATAGCAAAGCAATCGCTATCGCAAACACGTAGCAAACATCGCAATTATAAATAAATACAATTTTATTAATTAGCACAGTAACTCGCACCTTGTAATTAGCTAGGGCTATTAGGCTACATCAAATACGCAAAGGCGTTTCAAATGAATGTCATTATAAAATAAAAACGTGTAAGTAATTTGAAAGTTGTTTTGTTTGCTTGTTTAAAATACATTAATTGATTAAATATTATTAGTAGGCCAAGTGCTGCTAGCAATCTTGTCACCCCTCCAGCTCAGAGTCTGCCTTTAATGGAACTAGGGTAAAATCAAGACCCAAATAGTCTAAAAATTGCGATGCTTTGTGAATAAGGCCTCAGGTATAGTATGGCAAGTGGTTTTAGATGGTCATATCTTTTAACATGAGTACTTTCTCAATTTAAATGACATTTCTCAACACAATATGTGATCTTTCAAGTAAATTCTCATGGATAATAAAAATATCAATCCAAGAATGCGAGCAATTATGAATAGGAACCCCGTGTCAACGTTTTTTGAAAATGTTGAACTTCTTTACTCAAAAGAGGATCTTCTTTTTTGATTTTATTGCATGGAAAGATTATTCAATAAGGGGTCTTAAACTTCTTCAAAAGTAGAATGGTATTGAAAGTCTAGTTTTAAAGAAGAAAAAATATGTTCGAAACAATGGAAAGCATGAGTTTTCCTATGGAAAAATAACATGAAATATGTTTATTGTAAGAAATGCACGTATAAATACATCTTCATTTGTTGCTGAAACCATGAAACTATCGTAAATAGCGTATCAATCAAAATATCTAATTATTCACTGCTCGATAATTTACTTTTAAAATACCCTCTTAAAGGAAATTTCCTTGCCAGACCCTTTCTCTCTTGATATGGTAGCTATAATCATATATATAGTTTCCATATTTAGCAAAACATGGGAAAATGTTTTATTATGGTCAATATTGATCATTTAAAAATCTAGTGCTTATTTCCAGTGAGCTGCCATCTTTTAAGATTTCTTGCAGGAAGTGATGTCATCAACTCTCAACTTCTATAACCTTGCCCATAACAGTACAGGAAAGTAGCACAAAATCACTTTTAGACAAGTGATCATTACTTTCTGTGCAAAAATATTTTCAGGACTTGTCAACTTAGAATAAAAGAAGAGATTTTCAGAAGAATTAAATAAGATACAAAGTTGAAAAAGAATATCTAGCTGGTTTTGTAATTCTTAATAGCTCCTCACCTAATGCTATATGCAAAGTTGAGAGTCGATGACATCACTTCCTGTGTGAAATTTTAAAATTACTGGAATTGAGCATCACATTTCTAAGTGATCAAATTTGACCATATCAAAACATTTTTGCGTGTTTTGCTAAACATGGCAAGCATATATATGGTTATAGCTACCATATGAGGAGAGAGATGGTTTGGCAAGGAATATTCCTTTAACTCAACCAAGGACATTATTCCTTCCATACAAATATCGTGGATAGTGGACTTCGTACAAACTGTTTACAAAAGTAAGTCACTAAAAAGAAAATCAAAATTGATTATCAACTGTTCAGAGTTATAAAAAGAAAACCTGTTCCCATAATCTAATCGGCATGAGTAGGGTTATACTGGTTTGTTCATCCTACCAGCAAAAATGCACACATGTTCCAGGTGGTGGGCTATGTTTCAAGCCAGAAAAATGTGTCAGGGTAATCGCCTCTGCGTTCGTGATGCATATCATTTGTATAAACGACAATGTACCATTACAAGAAGATGCCCCTCCCCGTGATGTGGAAAATGTCGATCATGTTGACCAAGACCAAGGTGTCATTGTACAGGGTGGTCAAAAAAAACGGCAACCCTAGTTTTTCCTAATATCTTTGTCATTCTAAGGAATAACTCCCTGATATTTTACACATTTGTACATCATTCAATTTCCTACCAACCTACTATATTTCATGACCATCGGACTGATACTCACAATGTTACTGCATTTTAAGCAACATACCCCAGATTTATGAAATAACACAGTCTAGTATGAAATTGAATGATGTACATGTGTGCCAAATATCAGTGCAAAATTTCCAAAAATGACAAAGATATGAGGAAAAATTAGGGTTGCCGTTTTTTTGACCACCCTGTACAAGACAACAACATACTGCGCAACTCTGGGCGGGTTGTCAGGCAAAGAATTGTCAACCCTTTCCAGGTATTTTATTTGAATCAGTTATATCAATTTAAATGATTAAGGTTGTCCTATATGTTCAGAATTTTGATGCAAACCTCAATAGAGTCGTGTGTTATTTTTCAAATATGGACCACTCCTTCCCATCATTGTCTTCATCTTTCACTTTTGCACAATGTAAATAATGCATTAATATACCTAGAACAGAGTATAATGTTTTGGTGATTCATATTTGAAAAATAACATATGGCTCTATTGAGGATTGCATAAAATTTCAAACAACTTTAAAGGTCTAACTAAGTTGGGGATGTAAGACGAACGAACTAAACATCCCGAATCTTTAGAACTATCACAGCCAAGACATATAACTTGAATTATAAAGGTGGTTACATAATACTAATTTATGAAATATATTGTTTTGTTCGCCAATCTGCTATATTCTCCTTTGTACTGTCTGTTCCATGTATATTCAAATAATGTTGTATTTCAGATTGCTAGATGAACATTATGTGTCCTACTTGTTAAAGGCTAGTGTAGGTGCCCTCATGGTCTTGCTGAACTTGCTCTTTCTGAAAGAAAAGTGATTTTGGATAATGAACAATTAGGGTAAACACGAATAGTGTTCTCGACTGACGAGATACGATCGAGTCAAGCATTTGATCTTTTAATAGTTACCCTACCTCTGTGTATTGCCACTGTCACGTTTTAAGTCTTAAGGTTCTTATTATCTACTCTAAACCACAAAAAAAGTAGGCTAAAATATGTACAATGCAATTTTATTAAATGATTCTTACTCAAAATAATTGGGTAGGTACCTACGTATGGATAAATTATGAGATATGTACAATATAATATAATATAAAAAAAAACTGTAAGTAATTTATTCTATATGTGGTCAAAGCAATATGTGATAATTTGCTGATATCACACCAATGATTGTTTTAAGTATGGTTACATATGAAGTTCACAGATCCTTCGGTATATATCACATATCACGTTTCTTCGATCGCTCTGAGATTAAATCTACACGACTTTGCGTATCATATCCATCTGTCGTAGGTGCTACTGTATCCCAATATGATATATATATATCTTTTATTTACGACTGTAGTTCTCGGATCACACTGCCAATATACATGTCGTTTATATCAGTTAATTTCATCTATTGTTCATCGATCATATATTCACGCTAGTATATCATCTATTGTTCACCAATCATGCACGCTAATGTATATCATCTATGGTTCACCAATCATATATTCACGCTAATATATGATATATTGATCACCAATCATCCTATTGTTCACGATTCATATATGCATGCTATCTATTGTTCATCAATCATAAATGCATGCTAATATATCATCTATTGTTCCCCAATCATATGCACACTATCTGTTGTATGCGTCTTATTATTTACATCACATGTCGTATTTATCCATTGAATATCTATTGTTCACATAACACTCTGCTATATCACTTATAATATCGATCTATGTTCAATTACGTTTATAGTTCTCAAATCACTCTACTAACATGCATATCCTATCACGCTAACACATAATGTATATGACACATACTTTAAATGTTCACAATTGTTCACATAATGCACCCCACTGTAGAAGACTGCCTGATGTTAACACTACGCTTACTGATAACATCTGATATAATGTAAGATTTTGGTTGCACCTGACCTACTTAGCTATTCACTCTCTAACTGTTTATATCACTCTGACCCAACTGTATAACTCTTCTTAATACATTAATTAGTTGAGTTTTCAATTAAGTGTACATATCTAAAAAATACAGTCTAAAAACATACATTGATTATTTGGCTAGTTTATTTTGCTAATTACTGTTAGGCACAAGTTAAAGGACCTATGATTTACCTAAATGATTTTATGAAATGCATGGATAAGTATTAAAAACGTGACATTACCCCCCTTTTTGAGAATATAATTACTATATTCTTACTTTGAGAGGAGTGTAATATTTGTATTTGCATAATTGATGATATTGTAGTTGTAATGTTTTATTTGTTCATTTTTCTACAACATTGTTGCTCCTGATATTTCACCGATTATCAGATCACATATTGGGGTTTCTATGCATATAGCTTCAGTGTGTCCAGTGAAGTATGGTGTTTCTATATAAATATCTGCCACTGGTGCGGTTTTAACTGTTCTGTCAATCATCACATAATTTTTAGTTTTTCCTGTCATCTGTCTTTTCTTCACAAGACTGGCTCTTACTACAACTCCGCTGCATCCTGTGTCTCTGAACACTCTAACACGTTCTGTACCTATAAATCCAACTTCACTCGGTAGTTCTGACATTTTTCCTGGTGTAACTTCACAATTGCAAGCTGAACTTACAACATCTATTTTACAACCACATGTTAATGTAAGTGGCAATCCAGGCTGGATTTGGCAATTATGTTCATCTGGCATAATCTGGCAGGATGCTGTATGTAGTTCATTATCATTTTTTGTACGGTTTTGTTTATTTTCTTGATCAGAGTCTGTATCTGTGTCTGTATCTGAATCTGTTAACACTGCAGCTGCTGATCTTGTGAAATTTCCTCTGTTTCTATTTTTTGGACAGTCTTTAGCCATGTGACCCTCCTCAAAACAAATATAACAGGTTCGTTTGCTATCTACATTTGTTTGTCTGATTGTACTTTCTTTCACTGTTGCATCTTCATTGTTATCTCTATCACTGGTTTCTTGTTTGAACTTATCATATCTGGTTGTGTATTCTCCACGATCTTCTCTTTGAAGACTATTCATTCCTCTTGCCTTAGCATATCTTTCAGCTTGTTCTATTACATTGTGTTTTGTCTGTATATGATGTTCTCTTATAAATGTTGCAGTGTTTCTTCCACAAGTGTTTAGGAACTGTTCTCTGATAATGAGGTCACTTATTCCTTCAAATGTTTTATCAATCTCAGCAAGATCAGTCCAACGATTAAAGTAGTTTTCTATTCTGGCCATGTATTGTGATGCTGTTTCACCATTCTGTGGACGGCTTGAAAAGAATTTCTTTCTAAAACCAACTTCAGTCATTTGATATCTTTTAAGTAACGCTTTTTTCAAAGCGTCATAGTCATTACATTGTATTTCAGGTAATCTAGTGTATACATCTAGAGCATTTCCTTTCAGTAGAGCACTGAGATACATTGCAAAATTTTCGCGTTGCCAATTTTGTGTATGAGCATAACGTTCAAATCTGAGCAAGTATGCATCAATATTGTCAGAACTTTCATCAAATGCAGGTAATTTTGGTATTTTGGGAGTATATTGGTTTATATTTTCATTTCGTCTGTCTACTTGAGTGTCTGTGCTTTCAATTTTCATTCTTTCAAGTTCTAGTTGTAGTTGAAGTTCAGTTTGTCTCTGTTTTCCCAGTTCTATATTTCTGTTAAATTCTCGTTCTCTCATTCTTTCCAACCTGTCTTCTTTCTTCTCTTGGGATTTTACAATGAATTCTTCAAGTCTTTCACCACTGTATCCCAATTCTTTCCCCAGTTTGAAAAGTTTTTCTATTTCTGATTCTCCGGGGTATGTATCATAATCTGGTTCTGCCATTTTATGTTGTTATGTGTGTGACAGATATACTGTATGTGTTATTTGTTTGATTGTAATTTAGTCTTTGGATAAATGTATACAAATATTTGCGATATGTATATGCACAAATATATTTTGATGCCTATTTAGGTCTAAATTGGTGCCTTTGAAATTATTATAAATTTAAACTATAATTCAAGTATATACAGCTGATCTGTGGTTTTTATAACTGAAGACGAGCCCCCATTGTCACGTTTTAAGTCTTAAGGTTCTTATTATCTACTCTAAACCACAAAAAAAGTAGGCTAAAATATGTACAATGCAATTTTATTAAATGATTCTTACTCAAAATAATTGGGTAGGTACCTACGTATGGATAAATTATGAGATATGTACAATATAATATAATATAAAAAAAAACTGTAAGTAATTTATTCTATATGTGGTCAAAGCAATATGTGATAATTTGCTGATATCACACCAATGATTGTTTTAAGTATGGTTACATATGAAGTTCACAGATCCTTCGGTATATATCACATATCACGTTTCTTCGATCGCTCTGAGATTAAATCTACACGACTTTGCGTATCATATCCATCTGTCGTAGGTGCTACTGTATCCCAATATGATATATATATATCTTTTATTTCTATTGTTCATCGATCATATATTCACGCTAGTATATCATCTATTGTTCACCAATCATGCACGCTAATGTATATCATCTATGGTTCACCAATCATATATTCACGCTAATATATGATATATTGATCACCAATCATCCTATTGTTCACGATTCATATATGCATGCTATCTATTGTTCATCAATCATAAATGCATGCTAATATATCATCTATTGTTCCCCAATCGTATGCACACTATCTGTTGTATGCGTCTTATTATTTACATCACATGTCGTATTTATCCATTGAATATCTATTGTTCACATAACACTCTGCTATATCACTTATAATATCGATCTATGTTCAATTACGTTTATAGTTCTCAAATCACTCTACTAACATGCATATCCTATCACGCTAACACATAATGTATATGACACATACTTTAAATGTTCACAATTGTTCACATAATGCACCCCACTGTAGAAGACTGCCTGATGTTAACACTACGCTTACTGATAACATCTGATATAATGTAAGATTTTGGTTGCACCTGACCTACTTAGCTATTCACTCTCTAACTGTTTATATCACTCTGACCCAACTGTATAACTCTTCTTAATACATTAATTAGTTGAGTTTTCAATTAAGTGTACATATCTAAAAAATACAGTCTAAAAACATACATTGATTATTTGGCTAGTTTATTTTGCTAATTACTGTTAGGCACAAGTTAAAGGACCTATGATTTACCTAAATGATTTTATGAAATGCATGGATAAGTATTAAAAACGTGACAGCCACGTAGGAGCAGTAGGTTGGAATAATCCCGTTAGCACCCCATCACCTTTCCTTTCTTCCAGGATCTTTCTGATTCCTTTCCTGAAAAATAAGAATGATCAATTCATACACACTACAGGGTGTGTTAACTTTCTATTTGATGTATTGTGGATAGAATCAGGACGGTATAAACCTGCCTCGGTTTAATTGTTCAGAAGGACACAATTTTACATTTCATTTCCAATACGTGTATGCTAATGTACAGTATTCACATAAGTGTATACCGGAGTTTCTCGGGCATAATTTTTTGCACAGGCCGTTTCTTTGAAAGAACTTTTTTATAAACGCCCATGGGCCTTTATTTCGAGGGATATTATACATCGTTAAGTTGAAGTGTACATCTTTTATTTGAAACCGGAACTCATTCTCATCAAGGTGTCATATTTTGATGACTAAAACATCAAGTCCACTGGTCTTTTATTAAGAAGGCCTTCTATTGATGGAAAAAACTTTTCATATACCACTCTTTCAAATAAACACCCATGGGCCTGTTCGCGAGAAACTCGGGTACTAAATAAAATGCTGGAAGTATAAGTATCGGTACTTTCACTGTTCACATTAAGTCAATCTTTAGAGATCTATCTATCTCATAATTTCTAGAATCACTCTACCCTACCATGTGACCACGTTTAAAAGGAACACATGCTACAGTGAAGTTGCAAATGTAGCGGAGTCTCTATCTTTGTCTATAGGACTTTTCTGGTAATCCTACACTACAAACTACTTGATGAAGCTATACTGCATAATAGATCACTTGTAATATATGTAAAATCTGGTATATTGCTTCAGAAATAAAAAAAAATTACGATAGGACAACTATACGGAAAAAGTTTAAAACCGATTCTGAATTATTCAGTAAACTTGTCCTAAATTGGTTTTGCCGTATCCTATATTTTACGACGTTATGCGACTGACTTTCTATAGTTGCTAAGCAACTAGATTTTTGGCGGCCATATTGACTTTTCAGTGGTGAGTGAAATTTTCATTTTTGTAGAGTTTTTGACGCTTTGCTGCTTTTTCCCTAATCTGTTTTCAATATCATGAGTTGATACGCAAACTAAGTAACTAAAATCATAATATGGCAAACTTATCTGATCTCTGATCCCTGCAAGTAACCTACGCTAGACCTATTTCCTATTTTAATTTTTCGATTTTCCATTCCATCACCAAACCAAACTATGAAATAGAAACATATGAACAAGACCTAACTTTTGTTTATTTTGGTTTGTTTTTAAGTTTGGCTATCAAATATATGGCCTCTTATATTTTGATGCTTCTTAGTTCAACAAGAGCTGGAAGGTAACATTTTTGTAAGAAATTCACATTAATTTCTTTATTTTACACTCATTATGAGACCTTATCTGTTGCAAGACTAATGCCTGGCACAACCGTCACCATGTTATTAAGTGTTTTTAAGTTCCGCAAGAATCCTGCCATGACCATGGTAGTGTTATCATGAAAGCCTGGCATGACCGTGGCAATGTTGAAATACACTGTAATGCCTGCTATGCCCGCAGACAATGTAATATGGTATTGCAAGGCCTGGCATGACGGTGGTGATGTAGAAATTTATAATTATCCCACCGAACGAAGTTCGAGGGGGATATAGAAAAGCCGTCCGTCCGTCCGTTCGTCCGTCCGTTCGTGTGTCCGGGCAATGACTCAAATACCGGATGACGGATTTCATTCAAATTTTATAGGCTTATGCCTTATGGGTGTAGGACCTCTGCTCGAGAAGGAATTTTCAATATGGCCGCTTAATTCAAAATGGTGGCCATTTTTCGGAAAAAATATAATCTTTAATTACTCAAATACTAGTGGATGGAATTGGCTCAAATTTTATATGCTGTTGCCTTGGTACAAACCAGCCTTGCTAAAGAAGACACTTCCAAGATGGCCACCAAATTTCAAAATGGCGGCCATTTTTCGAAAAAACTCAAAGACCATTGAATGGATTTGGTTTAAATTTTAGATGCTGATGCCTAGGGATATAGGAGCTCTGCTCAAGAAAGGATTTTGAAGATGGCAGCTAAATTTCAAAATGGTGGCCATTTTTAGTAAAAAAACGTTATCTTTGATAACTCAAATACCATTGAATGGATTTGGTTTAAATTTTAGATGCTGATGCCTAGGGACATAGGAGCTCTGCTCAAGAAAGGATTTTCAAGATGGCAGCTAAATTTCAAAATGGTGGCCATTTTTCATAAAAAAACATTATCTTTGATAGTTCAATGGATTTGAAAGGATTTGGTTCAAATTTTACATGATGATGCCAAGGGACATAGGAGCTCTGCTCGAGAAGGGAGTTTCAAGGTGGTAGCTAAATTTCAAAATGGCCGCGATTTTTCATAAAAGAACGTAACCTTTGATAACTCTAATACCAGTTGACGGATTTGGTTCAAATTCTATATGCTGATGCCTAGAGACAAAGGAGTTCTGCTCAAAAATAAATTTTCAAGATGACCACTGAATTTCAAAATGGCCGCCATTTTTTGTAAAAAAATGTAATTAATGATAACTCAAATACTAGTGGATAGATTTGGTTCCAATTTTATATGCTGATGTTTAGGGAAAAAGGAGATCTGCTTCAGAAGAAATTTCAAAGGCGATAGCTGAATTTCAAAATGGCTGCCATTTTTCATTAAAAAAGTAATCTTTGATAACCCAGATACCATTTGAAGGACATTCTCTGCTAAAGAAGAAATCTAAAGATGACAGCTGAATTTCAAAATGACAACCATGTTTCATAAAGACATAATCTTTGATAATTCAAATACCAGTGGATGAATTTGGCTCAATTTTTTTATCAAAACATGTTTTGTTCGGTGGGATTTGCTACTCCGTGGAGTTGCTGTTTTTCTAGTTAGGCCTGCTATGACCGTGACTGTTATATTCTATGACAATGCCTGGTATAACAGTGACAATGCGATATTATTATTATTATATTACAAGACCTGACATGACCGTGGTAATGTTGAAATATCTTGCAATGCCTGCTATGACCGTGACAATGTAATGTGGTATTGCAAGGCCTGACATGACCGTGGTAATGTATAAATTGATGCTTAGGCCTGCTATGACCAAGACTGTTATATATTTTATGACAATGCCTTGTATAAACAGTGACAATGCCTGGCATGACCGTGGCAATGTTGAAATATATTGCAATGCCTGCTATGACCGTGACAATGTAATTTGGTATTGGAAGGACTGGCATGACTGTGGTAATGTAGAAATGTATGCTTAGGCCTGCTATGACCGTGATAATGTATTACAATTACTGGTACTTGGGCATTTAGTACTGTAATAATGTATGACATGAAATGTCAGACATATCCTTAGCAATTTTAAGTGTATGAAAACTTCTGGTATAACCTTGATAATTATAATAAATGCTATGCCTGGTATGACATCTTTAATACCACGATCATGATGTTTAACTACCTTAACCATGTCAAGATGACTACTTTACATTAAAATTCACATAAATTTCAGCATATTTTAAACTCATTAATCATCTACAGAAAATAAGACACGATTATAAACAATTTCAAAGGTCAACTCTTTAAAATAGAAAAATATTCAAAACAGGATAAGAAGCATTCATTTAATTAACCACAATAAAGAAGTCATGAATGTCACATAATAGTCTAGCTTCAAGACTGGACCTCAGGCTTCTTATCTTAACAGCACAGTTTAGAGAGTCCAGGGTCTTGAAGCAAGACTAGTCACATAAAGGCCACGGTGGGCTTTCAGGATAACACTAGGTGGATCTTGACTGAAGATCTAGAGTTGAAATAACTTCAAAGCAGTCAAGATCCACCTAGAATCTGGAAATGCTATGTGGATGACACATGGTGTGTTATAAAGTCAGAGTCAGTAGATAGTTTCACAGACTTTATCAACAGCTTTCATCAAGATATTAAGTTCACCAGAGAAGTAGCAGTAAACAAAGAGTTAGCCTTTCTGGATGTTCTTACATATATAAAGGAAGATAGATCGTTAGGGTGTAGGGTGTATAGAAAACCAACACATACAGACTTGTACCTAAACTTCAATTCTCATCATTTGTATAGGACCAAACTAGGAGTAGTTAAGACTTTAACTCGCAGAGCGAAGGAAGTTATTCAAGATAGCACAGATTTGAAGAATGAACAAGGTCATATCAAACAAGCATTAAGTAGGTGTGGTTATCCACTTTGGAGTATAGAACAAGCTAATAAGGAAAAACCTAGAGTAGTTGACCCAAGTAGTAGTGAGTCTGAGACTCCACCATTAAGTGTAACCCTACCATATGTACAAGGTACATCACAACGATTAGAGAGAGTGTTTAATAATGTAGGAGTGAAAACTTATTTTAAAGCTGCTAGAACGATCAAACAGGAGTTAGTCTCACCAAAGGATCAAAGCCCTAAGTCAGAAATCTCAGGAGTGATATACAAAATTAATTGTCAGGACTGTGATAGCTCGTACATAGGTGAAACTAAGAGACCAATAGGTGTTAGGATAAAAGAACATCAGACAGCATTAAGATTAGGAAAAGAAACATCGTCTGCTTTAGCTGAACATTCATATGTCACAGGTCATAGGATCAATTGGAACGATTATAGTATAGTCGATAAGGAGAGTAAGGATTTCTATAGAAAAGTTAAAGAAGCCATTCACATACATCTTGATAAGCCCATCCTTAACAGAGACTCAGGTTATCTCGTAGATAAATCGCTACTGGAGACAGTTAATTCAAGGTCAAGGTCAAGGACAGCTGTAGTGGCGGGAAATCAGCAAACAGTACGTCACTGACGAAGGATGTAGTCACATCCGAAAGCTATGAAAAGTAAAGAAATTTCTCAGGTTAGTTAGAGGAACCTTAAATTATTATCAAATTACATGATTTATTTTCGACATCAATTTTTTATGATGTGAATTCATGTAATAGTCATTGTTAACATGTTGTTTTCATTTCTATGCATGAATCACGGAGGATAAGCAAAACGAGGGCGAAGCCACGGACTGCGACTCGCGTAACTTTACACCGCAGCCCA